GCAAAACAAATATGATTTTACCAGCAATAACTGTACAGAATATAGTATTTCTACAACCATTTAAATTTCAAATATATACAATATGATTTATTTGAGCACTTTTAACAGTTAGAAATACACAATTTGTAATTGATTATGAATAATATTCCTTTACCACTCATGTACAACTGTTCTTAATAATCTTACATTGAAATTCAAGATCTAGAAATTGCTGAAATTTCCTTTTAAATCAACAGATTATATAAGTTAAAGATCTTTATAGATTATTAGCTTTCGAATCAAACTCTTATAAATGTATCTCTTATAAATGAGTTTTTTGAAATTGATGATGGATTACTGTTTCGTAAACATTGAGAGCAATTATGCTTCAACTTGCAATGTATCCAGATAACCAAATCCTCCTCATTTTATCTTTTATTAATTAGTTATCATTTTCACATGTATAGATATTATATACAAAAACATTTCTGTTCATTCAAAATTTTCACTGGTTGATATAAATAATTGAAATCAATCAACAATAGGCTTAATTTAGGAATATCAGACACTTATTCTTTTGAAGTATGAGTTAAATGCTGTCAGATGATAATGGATAATATTACAAAGTATGAACAATGAATGAAAATTTGAAAATTGTCATTTATATTGATATGGGACAATTTTTTTTCCACAGCTTGTAGAGAAGATACATTCATATAGTTTATTTCCCTCCAACTGGTTCACATGTCAACGATGGATCTATGATTAATGTGAAATAGGCAAGAGTTAAAAAAACACACAAAAGATTGAATTTTTGTCTCATTTCCAATTAATTACTGATTTAGATCAAAAGTATTTTTCATAAGCATATAGCACACACCAACTTCATTGAAAATTGTATTTTTGGCATTATAAAATGAAAATCAATATCACCGATTTCTGTTTCCTCTTCCCCCTCCCCGAAACCCTCCCCTTCCACCACCACGACCTCCTCTTGGACCACCTCCCCTACCTCTATCTCCACCACTGCTACCTCCTCTACCTCCCCCACTGCCACCTCCTCTACCTCGATCACCACCCCATCCACTAGGACTTCCACGCATTGATCCTCCCCGTGTGGATGGAGAAAAGTCTCTATTTCTATTACCATAGCCCATGTTATCTTGACTGTCTTGCCAATTGTCTGAGCTTCCAACTCTCCGAGGATCATTATTACGATTACCACCATCAAATGCCATTCCTACAGGAGCATCATCATGTCCATAATTTCTAGGTGCCATTCCTCCTCTACCCATTCCTTGATTATAAGAATCTTGGTCTTGTTTTCCTCGTGAAGAGTGTTGAAATTCATTACCAGAACCTGCACGATCATTTACTGAATTTCTATCCCAATAAGGATCAGTATTTTCTGATCTGTTTGTATCAGGAAAGTTGTTTCTTAAACCACGGAAATCATTCGGATGATTTTGTCTATTTTGTCTGAAATCATCATCTTCCTGGTTTCTCCGCAAATCTCTATCAAGATTTCTATCTGATGGTCTAAAATCTTGATCTTGGCGAAAGTCTCTGTCCATATTATCTGACCTACTATTTCTTCTAAAGTCTCTGTCTTCATAATTATCAATGGAGCGCCTCATATTACTGACCATATTATCCACAGACCCTCTCATAGAATCAGTCTGACCTCGCATGTTATCAACAGGTATATGTCGAGAAGCACTTTTTTGATTATTCCGAGATAAACTTCGTGGATCACGTAGGTCTTTTTTATCAGAAAATTCATTTTTTCTAAAGTCAGTATCACTTTGGTTGTTGAATCCTATTGGCCTTGGATTTCCTTCAGTATTCATACTTCTTGAATCCTCCACTGAAAAGAGATGAAAAGTTTATATTAATTTGCTTCAAAATACACTACTAGACCTGTTTGACACATTTATCTCTGCATTTATATTTGGTAAAATATGAATGGAAACAGACTATCAATGTTTGGAAACATGACCTGTTACACTTCTTAACTCTATAATTTTATTCTAAAAAATTTGGTAAGTATTATTTTGACATATTGATTTATATTTTGTTTTAAAGCTGTGAATTTGCACAATTTTATTCTGTTCGAATCATTCCGCTAAATTAATAACTCACAACAATATTTTCACATTAACCCTCTATGAACTGCTGACCTGACATGTTACATAATCTTTTTAACTCATCTATAATTACCTAATTAATAGTATTTTTTTAACAAATTTTTTCTCAAATTTTGATAATGCAAATTATTTGATATATTTATTTACAGATGTGAAAAAGTGCGTTATGAATCAATCAATCTAGAGTCCATATAAATATGAAAATGACCTAAAATCAATATAGCATATTTCGAAAAGTATTATTAGGTTGACAACTAAAATAAAGATATTGTTAAAAAGCTTAACAACTACATTACGAATACATACAATTAAATAGAATAAGGCTAAGTTCATATTGAAAAAGTCCAAGTTCATGTTATATAATCCTCCAAAGATTCAGAAAATATGTAAATTACCCATTTTCAGAGTCTTATAAACCAAAAGGTAATGTACCGAAATAAAAGATAGCTTGCCAGGCAAGGTAATATACGCCCACTTGCAGATTTGATTTTGAATAAAAATATTTACCAGTACAGTAACAATCACCAGTATGAAATCTTTAGGGCGATACTGAATAATATTGAGTATGAGTTATTGCCCTAGTTCTAGAATACGTGTTCAATCTTTAGCACGTGAAAACTCAAGAAGACAAACAAGGGACAATTTGACAGATTTTGACGAAACTTGGCAGAGTGTTTGTTATTACCCATGGATAAACCCTATTGAAAATCAGAAAAATGAAAAATATTTAGTATGAGTTATTGCCCTTGTTCTTGAAAACGCGTTAAAATTTTAGCTTGTGAACGCTCTAGAAGGGACAATTCTTGACGGATTTTGACGAAACTTGGCATGAGTGTTTCTTATCACCCAAGGATGAACCCTATTGAAAATCAGAGTTCAGGGTTCATCCTTGGGTAATAACCAACACTCAAGCCAAATTTCATTAAAATCCGTCAAGAATTGTCCCTTCTAGAGTGTTTACAAGCTAAAATTTGAACGTGTTTTCAAGAACAAGGGAAATAACACATACTAAATAGTTTTCAATTTTTCTGGTTTTCAATACGGTTTATCCATGGGTGATTACAAACACTCACACCAAGTTTCGTCAAAATCCATCATGAATTGTGCCTTCTAGAGTGTTTCCAAGCTAAAATTGAACGCGTTTTCAAGAACAAGGGCAATAACTCATACTAAATATTTTTCATTTTTCTGATTTTCGATAGGGTTTATCCTTGGGCGATTACAAACACTCATACCAAGTTTCATCAAAATCCGTCATGAATTGCACCTTCTAGAGTGTTTACGAGCGTTTCAAGAACAAGAGCAATAACTCATAGTAAATATTTTTCGATTTTCAATAGTATTCATCCTTGGGTGATTACAAACAACCTTACCAAGTTTCGTCGAAATCAGTCAAGAATTGTGCCTTGTGGAGTGTTTACAAGCAATTGTGGACGGACGGATGGACATGGGTGACGGCAATATACACCCCCCATTTCATGTGGGCGTATAAAAAGGTAATTCTGTGGTCTGGAATGTCTGATCGAACGTAAAAATGTTGTAAGTATTACAGTTTTTGATTGGTACTCGGACAACAAAATGAAAAAAAAAAAAATAACGATATCAATACAGCTTCGATATCAATACAGCTTCGAGTTCAACTCAAAAGCTGTAATTATATGTAAATTTTCATACAAGGATACAAATGTTTCAAGTTTGATTTAACCTTTCATCAAAATATATGCTAGATATAAATATTATATATTAATAATCATAATCAATTATCAACTTAATCCAATAAGTATAATTAAAACTGTAAACATGTTCTAGTGTTTGTGTATAAAAAGTGAAATATTACTTACTGGTAATTGAACTGGGTGGTGGACGGAACTGACCATCGCTCATGTTTGGAGGAAAGGCACCAGAGTTTGTCATCATATTGTTTTGTTTTGGCATGTTTCCTAAGATACCAACAGGTCTGACCATGCTGTTCTGAGCTCCCATATTACCAGGACCACTCATATTATCAGAACCCATTCCTCCTAAATTTTTCATTTGATTAGGAGCTGCCATATTTATTGGACCACCATGGAAGCCTACATTACCACCAAGCATGTTATTTGGAGCTCCCATATTGATCTGTCTTCCAACATCCACTACATTCATGCTGCCTCTCATTTCACCACCCATGTTGCCAGGCATGCCACCAGAACCTCCCAAGTTACCAGGTATACCGTTAGGACCTCCAATATTACCAGGCATACCAACAGGACCACCAATGTTAACACCAGGTCCACTTATGTTACCAGGCATACCACAAGGACCACCCATGTTGCCAAGCATACCTCCAGGGCATCCCATGCTACCGAGCATACCACTTGGACCTCCAATGTTACCAGGACCCCCCATGTTACCAGGCATACCACAAGGAACCTCCATATTGCCTGTCATTCCACCTTGACCTCCTCCACTGGCTTTAACATTCCTAGGAACACCAAAATTAATTAGATTATCAGGGCCTTTCCCAGAAAACCCACCAATCAGATCAACATCATCAACATCCATTGGGTTTCCATCTTCATCAACATTTCCCATTTCAGCAAACATTCTCTCAGCCACAGCTTGGCGTTTCATTTCTGATTTCTCACTCAAAACAGTTTCTTCTAGTTCACGTAGATGTTGTGGAGCCAAAATAATATTATCAAGTAGACTTGGTATTCCTTTTGTTTGATCATCTCTATCCCTTCTTCTCCTTTCTCGACTTCTATCTCTACGTCTTCTTCTAGAGCCTCCCAATTCTTCATCACTATCATCATCTCTATCTCTCCTTCGCCTTCTCCCTGGACTGTCACCTCTTCTTCTACGCTCATCCTCTTTCATTGGTATCTTACCAGCCCATGCCTGTTCAAATGATTTTGGAATGGGTCTTGAATATGGTACCTTTTTTTTTGGCATATTAGCAGCTTCCATTTGTTTGAACACATCTGAATCTGTGCCAAAGTCAAGACCAGGTATACTAGGGATAGCATTTTCATCTGTTTCTGAAATTGACAAATAAAATACTTTCCTTTATGTAAGAAAATTTTTCAAACAAAGCGATAAAGTTCTCTGGTTTATTTCTAATGGAACTACTGTAGATCTTTATCACTATTATATCATTAGTCCACATTAGGCACATTAGGGCTATTTTAAGTTGATCCCAACTGTCTGTTTGGAAAGGTCACAGAGGATCACTAACTCACCTTGTTTGACTGGAGCTTCTTGTTCCATACCCATCCCTGGTAGATTAGGTACAGCTTGCACATCCATATCTGAAATGAAATACTCACTTTTCAACAAAAAAAACAAAGATGGACAATATTTTAAAGGTAACAGTGTTCATGATTTGGAGCCTATTCCTATTGTCAGAGAGTTTGTTACTTAAAAATAGACAGTTTGTGATAACAATACACAAAATTTCTAATTGATTGATAAACATTGATAATTTTTTCATACAGATTTATGAAAATAGAAATCTTTGATTGAATTTATTAAATTAGGGCTTAATAGTACTTACCATATTCCATCATTTCAGCATCAACTCCAGCAGGTAGATTATTCAAATTATATCTATCTCTCATTTTATCACCAGGACGATTTCTAGACCAGAATTTACTGAAAACATGAAGTTATCAATTTGCTGTATGACATTTATAAAAATTATCCTCGCTACACAAAGTATTAGTTCATTTAAATTAGTCTTGATATGATGTAAAATTTGAATCTTTAACAAACCATATTTCTAGATTACCCTGTAGACTGATATATTGTGTAGGCTATCTCATTGGTCATCTGTTTTATGGGCCTAAAAAACCTCAAAGATGGCTTCAGTCAAAGAACTGGATATATCATTCACTTAAATATGACTCACGTAGAATGGTCATTTGAGCCAGATGCTAATAAATGACCACCAGGATGCCAAGCAAGAGACCACACCATACCATCATGTGCTTCTTCCATACTACCAACTTCACGATCACATCTAAACAATTTATTGATAAATACTAAGATACATGTATAGTAAACAGATATCCGAATATAGTAGCCAAAGATATCTGGACTACATTTCTCGAAATTTCATATGACTTACCTTGAATGTTATATAAAGAAAAACATTATTGAACTAAATTTCTTTCGTAAAATCAAGTTTTGTGTAATATTTGAAAGAAATCGTAACATTATTAATACTGCCAGAAATATCTTTCTTTAAATATCGTAATGTTAAATTACAATTAAAGTTAACACCATAAATGCTGGATAATAAAAATCAAGACAGATCAGATATCATCTAGTTCTTCTTTCACTTTCAAACTCCATGTACTTTTTATATGTTAATAGTTTAATTACTCACCCAACTTCCCAAAACATAATGGCACCATCTGATCCTCCACTTGCAAAATTACCTTCATGTAATGGATGCCATGCCACAACTATAATAGATATTCATTTTTTAAAAAAACAATAACATAAGACCAAAACTGAGTTATATCTTTTTCACTAGACATAACTTTTCCAACCTCCAGATGTAACTTTATTTTGAGTTTCAGTTTTGAGGGATTAAAATTTTATTTTCTATTCAAACGTTTATGGGATTTTAATGATTTGTAGGTTGGAGACGACTAATGCTTCTAATTGAAGTTGCTATTCATGTAATCTGGACCAGATTTAAACATCATAACCATTTATATCAAACTATATCTGCCTTATAAGGTTCATAATCTGTTAGGATTTTCTGGAAGCACAAATATAACATGTCAGAAGGGAAACCAAATCAAATCAATTTGCAAATGGAAACCATGTATGTCCACAAAAAAGCAAGAAAAATGCTTGGAGTCCTGATCTGGACTATGTCTTAATGAAGGCTGGAATGAGTATATGCTTTCCTCTTATGATCAATATTTTATCTACCTGTAGCTTCCTTCTTGTGACCTTTAAATTGTTGAAGTTCATCCTTCATATTTCTTATATCAAATATTTTTAATAGATGATCTCTTGATGCTGTTAATAACCAATTACCATTTAGATTCCACTGTAATCCCATAACTGTATTTTTATGAGCATGACTAAAAACAAACAATTTTGGCATAAGATTATATAAAAAGAATAGTAATGTAAGCATGCCAATTATTATGACCACTTGACTCCAATCATTGTTTCGTTCACACATGTTACGCAATGGTCATCGAACAGCACAGCACGGCACATGAGGTTTCCATATCACTTAAATACATCAATTACAGTTCATGAGCACTGCATTGTAATAATATTAAAGATATTTTCAATATTAAAACTTACATAGTAGCTAAACTATTACCAGTTCTAGGATCCCATAATTTTAAGGGTTGTTGATTATCTTTACTACCAGAAGCTATCAATGTTTTCTGTGGATGCCAATCAACACATTTAACATCAGCACCATGCCCTGAAAATATTCAATACTTCAACTACTCCATGTTAATCTTATAGTTTCTGATTCTCATGCCTAGACAATTTGGTGGACATTTTATATTACAGAGTGTAATTTTTTCATAACATGGCAAACTTTTGTTCTTAAAGAATTAGTTACTGTAGTTCCAGAATTGAAGATGTTCAGCAAGCACAATGAATGCATTTAGAATCTGTATGTATATGTCACAAGGAAAGTATTTAGAATATTTCAGCTGAAGAATGTCTATAATATGTAATGTAGATATCTTATGGAAGATATTCTAAGGAGCCCCTAAGGCGCAATTTTCCATACTTATATAAAATATTTCGTTTTAACGAAATAATTAATTCGTTTAAACGAAATAATTAATTCGTTTAAACGAAATAATATCGTATATTTCGTTTAATCGCATAACTTATTTCCATCAAACGAAATACTTATTTGGTTCAAACGAAATACTTAATTGTATTTTGTTTAAACGAAATAAAAAATGTATTTCGTTTAAACAAAATAATCAATTCCTTCAAAAGAAATAAGCTATTCGATTAAACGAAATACTTATTACTTATTTCGTTAAAACGAAATATTTTATAAAAGTATAGAAAATTGCGCCTAAGGGGCTCCGTAATATTCAGAATATGATGGTAGATTTAAGAACCTGTATGTAGATTTCACAAGGAAAATTTCAGATGAATAGGCAGGTGGCTGCCTAGCAAGATACACCCACTTCTCTGATAAATTTTCAGTATATCAAGGGCAGTCATCAATATGTTTCAAATTGTACCAAAAATCTTACTTGTCGAAGGTATTGCTGAGCAATAACTCAATTTCCGTTCATCGAATTTTAACCAAGATCCCATTGAAATAGATGCAAATTGAAAAAATTCATCAAGGGGAATAGCTGAAAAATCGTTCAGAGAAAAAATCGCCAACTTGACCATGATCTCATCATTATAAAGGATAACACCAAATTTTGTTAAATCAGATTAAAACAATAATACAATCATATTATAAGGAGGGCGTAAAATAATGTAGATTTCACATAGAAAGTATTTTAGATATGCAGATTTCAGCTTAATAATATCTTAATGTAATTCAATGTGTAAGGTAGATATCTTATGAAATGTTCAGAATATGTATGTAGATTTCAGATGAATAGAATGTAGAAAATGCATGTAGATTTCACATAGAACATATTATTTACGATACATATGTAGATTTTAGATATATGTTGATATCACTATGAAAGAATTTAGGTAGAATTTGCATAGAAAAGTATTAGGTATGCAGCTAGATTTCACATGAAAAATATTCAAAATATACAATGTAATACAGATTTCACATGGAAAATATGTATAAATGTACAGTTCGAAAGTGAAGGTATATTGAAGTGTAGAAGAGCCCCTGTAGAGATGTACATGTGTCCAATTTGTACATTGATAATGTTTTGATAAACTTACCTTCCTAATCCAAATACAAAAGACAATTCATAACATTGCTTTGATTTTTCATTGAGTGTTTTGCAGTTTCATCAAAAAAATACCAAACATTGAAACAGATCTTTGTAGGCATAACAAAACTGAACATATGATCAGTTGAAAACCTTCAGGGTTGTAAGCTGTTCCTGTGTCTAGTAGTAGAATGTCAAGGCAGTTAATTTCACAAGACTTTTGAAACTATTTTCTTAACAGACAGCTTACAAGATACATGTATAAGGTCGAGATATTGACAAGGTTCCCGATACTACAAAATGGATCATTTGATCTTTGTTTGAAGTTGCCCTTACAGAATGTTACAAAAACTTTGTATAAGCCTTGTACTATTTTTCTTTTTTTTTTTTATATCCAGAGAAGTTGAAGCAGTACATACAAATAACATCTGCATGTCCAGCTTCAACCAATGGCCAATTTGTCCAAAGATATTCCATGCTAGAATTAATTAAGACTTCCTGAGATTCTGGAACTTAAGTGGGTAGAACATACCTCTAAGAATTCTCTCTTCATGGCAGCGAACAAAGTCCCATATTCGAACAGTTCCGTCATCTGAACAGGTTGTAAACTTGCTATCCGAGGGGCAAAAACTGTGTAAATAAATAACAAAACCTAGATTACTTTAAAAATAAATTTATTCATTAGTAGATATTCATAGTAAGAGGTGGTACTAAATCAAAATCTAGTTTTTAGTTTTAATGCCAACACAATAACCTGGGCAGAGCCTTTATTGAAATAATTCAGATATATTCCATTCTTGTCTATGGCAAAAGGTTATGGAAAAGTATTTTTGAGCCAATTTTTTCCTTTTTATAACAAGGGCAATTGATTTGAAAAAGGGGAAAAAGTATTTTGGTAATCTCAAGCAAGAATAAAAGTTTGGTCTGGGCATAGCCTTTATTTAATGAAAATCATTATCATGATCTAAAAAAAGGGTAAATGAAATAAGTTTTTCATCTCATTTCCAAAAAATGTTTTTTTCAATTAAATGCAGCATAGTCTATTGTGTAGGGTTAATTTTGGAAGTTTCTGTCGAATTGGAAGTAAAATGATCATTAACAAGGGTAACACAGAAACTGGACAATTGCATGTAGGATAGGTGGGAGTATTGGGAACTTTATATTCTGGGCATTGCCTTTATTAAATGTCATTTTATGAAAGGCAAGGCTGTTTAATACAGACATGAGTTGCAAGAGTTTGGGAGTTTGGACCATCTTTATTAAACATGGGTGGAAGGAATGTTTTCTTAGTCACTCCTCAATAACGCCTTTATTTGCAACCTAACAGGGCTGCATCATTTCATAGTATATAATATAGTAGCCCCAAACTTAGTAAATAGATTCTGGGTGATCAGGTGGAATTGAAAATGGGGTGGATTTCTTTCTTTATTGATATCGGGCCAAGAGAAATTTCTTTATTTAAATAATACAACAAACTATATATACAAACCAGACAATAACAGTTATACCAAAGTATTATAGTACTTATTGGATGTGTATTTTGTGCCCACCTTATACCACGAACAGCTTCTTTATGACCTTGATACATGTTAACATTATTCATATTAGTCTGCCAATATTTAATAAAACCTGCATGATCTGCTGTAACCATCCATAGGTCATTATGACTCCATCTCATAGCTCTTACTGATACATCATGGGCCTGAAATATATTTAATATTGATATCAGTGATGAATTCAAAATCCATTATGAAATAACTACTCTATTATGTTCACAAAAAATATGAAAGAACATGTAGAACCTAATTGTAAGAAGTCCCTTTAAAGAAATCATTAGAAAAATAAACAAAGTACTGTTGATTCATCATTCAAGGTAGATGAACAGTTGGAAATCATGACAAAGGAAACAAGTTATTTCCCACTTTCTGGTATGATTTTCCGATCATCTACTGATCTACATAAAACTAACAAGTCCGAAATCAAATTATGACTAATGTTGTACACTACCTGTAAAATGGTTTCAAAATTAAATGATAAACCATTCCATAATGTAAATTCTCCACTAGATGCTCCAGTTACTAATCGTCTTCCTTCTGGTGTCCACTACAATCAAACAATACAATAAAATATTTCAAACAATACAAATAAAACATACAAGTTCCAAATCTTACATAATTTATGGGGTAACAAAAGATTTTCAATGATGCACAAAGAAAACTATGAAAACACATTGTGTTTAAACCAATTTTAAAATTTTAATTTATACAATGAAGATAGCTTGCCAGGCAAGGTAATATGCACCTACTAGCAGCTTTGATTTTAAATAAAAATATTTGGCAGTACAGTAACAATTACCAGTATGAAATATTCAACCTTCAGTCATTCACTTCTTTTTAACTTATTGAGGCGATACTGAATAATGTTACCAAGTTTCATCAAAATCTATCCAGAATTGGGCCTTCCAGAGTGTTTACAGGCTAAAACTTGAACGCATTTTTAAGAACAGAAGCAATAACATTTTTCAATTTTTCTGATTTTCGTTAGGGTTCATCTTTGGGTGATTACATACACCCACACCAAGTTTCGTCAAAATCGGTAACATTTCATGTGGGCGTATAAAACATGAAATAAAATTATATGTTGTTTTTTAACCAAAAGCTTAAAATTATTTGGCCATATATTATCAGACTCAATTTCTGCATAGTGAATTGATACACTCACAACACAGGGAGGAATATTTCAAAAGCTTATCACTTTAGGGAAAATAACTTGATAAGATATCATTGTATATCAAAAGTTTACTACTTACCGTTAAGACAAATATTGGACATCGGAACTTATTAGTAGATTGTCTGACGAACTTAGTTGTTACAGCATTCATTGGATTATGTAACATACTCAATGGTGGTTCAACCTAAAAAAAAAAACCATTTCATATTTACTTACCTGGGGAAATGTTTTCCCAGGTACAAATAAATAGTAAATAATTCTGTTGTCCAGTATCAATTCGTCTTCAATCAAGCATCCTTCATATTGAAGTTAGAACAACCCAACTGCAAGGTAGCAATCTGAAAAATTTCTCAGATCTAATCATAATCAATTATAAACTTTGTCAAAATACAATCAAAACTATATTGTCTCTTTCTCTGAACACATTGCTGGTGGTGATAAATGAACATATAAATGTACTAGTATATAGCAAGAAAAACATACTGAATAGTATTATCAATACTAACATTTATTTGATATAAACCATCTGGTTGTATAGCTCTAGCATCTCTTACATCTCTCTGCCAAATTCGTGACTAAAAAATATATAAATTATGCAATTTTTATAAAAGATTGGTCAATTATGAGATTTCATGATACAATAAAAGCATTAGAGGCTATGTTTTTTTTTGTAGTCTTCAAAACCATAGTAATAAACAATAAAAAGATTTATTTATAACCTTCACTTTAACATCAAATAGAACCACACAAAAAAAAAAAAGGTTTCCATCACCATCTAACACTTGTGCTTTCATGTTACTACGTTCTCATCACCATCTGACACAAAAATTTGTTAAGATTCTGTATAGATTTACCTTCATATAATTGAATACTGCAGAATTATAATCAACAACTTTTCTCTGTACAGATTTTCTCATGCGTTTACCATCAAATAACATGCCCTGATTAGCTGCTATTTGTTGTCGTACTTGTTGAGCATATTGAGCTTGTTTAGTTACTGGTGTAGCTAGTGGTGGTTGTATTGAATTGGGTGGATAGATATTCACTCTAATATTGTCTACACTAGAAGTATTTTGTGGAATGGTTGGTACAGTTGGTACTTGTGTCAATAGTCTATTTGGTTGTTGTACTGGAAGCATTCTGCTACCCATTGGTAACATCATTGTTCCCCCACTATCCATCTTTTACTTAAAGTTTACAACGGCAAAGCCTAATTAAAAGTAAAATTTTAATCAGACTGAGAATGTACAGGATAGTTGATCAGGAAAGATAACATGCACCCACTGGCAGCTTTGTTTAAATTAGAACATTAAGCATCCAACACTAGTATGAAATATTCTAGGCAAGGTAATATACGCCCACTAGCAGCTTTGGTTTTGAATAAAAATATTTGACAGTACAGTAACAATCACCAGTATGAAACATTTAACCTTCCGTCTTACACTTCATTTGAACTTTGAGAGACAGATTGGAGAGTCCAATCCATCAAGAATAGTCCTATCTAAAGTGCTTTCAATCTAAAAATTGAATGAATTTCCAAAAGCAAGGGCACTTACTTATATTTATTATTTTTAAGTTACTTGATTTTCGATAGGGTTAATCCTTGGTTAATTACAAACACTAACAAAAAGAAATTGTGCTTTCTAGAGTGTTTATGAGCTAAAAATTGATTGGTTTTTAAAGAACAAGGGCAATAACTCCTACTAAATATTTTTCGATTCTTCTGATTTTCGATAGGGTTAATCCTTGGGTGATAACAAAAACAAGTTTTGTCAAGATTGGTCAAGAAATGTACCTTCTAGAATGTTAACGAGCTCAAAAATTGAACAAGGGCAATAAATATTTTTTGATTCTTCTGAGTTTCAATAGGGTTAATCCTTGGGTGATAACAAAAACAAGTTTTGTCAAGATTGGTCAAGAAATGTACCTTCTAGAATGTTAACGAGCTCAAAAATTGAACAAGGGCAATAAATATTTTTTGATTCTTCTGAGTTTCAATAGGGTTTATCCTTAAGTGATAACAGGCCTCTTTAACTGTTTACGATCGATTGAGGATGGTCGTGACGGAACAACTGACAGACATGTGTTGCCAATATAGGCCCTATTCCATGTGGAGCTTATAAAAATGAACTAAAAGAATTTAAAGACTTCATGCAACTTGATATGTATATACAAAAAAAGGACCAACCTATCTTTTGGTAATAACACTTGTGCAAAGTCTCTTATATAACAGCATTTATTCTATTTTGTATTTTTACTTTATCATTTCACCTTGATCAAAGAATTGCAAACTTAAAGCCTGACATAACAAAAACTTGGACACATTAGTGAATTGCTATAATAAAGTCAATATATATATACTTGAATGAAATCAGTACTGATGTTTTATTTTCTGTCAGTTTCTGAAAACTTTCTCATGAAAGTAGACAAGAATTCCTAGCCATTTTCTTGCTCTGTAGACAATTGTCTATGGAAGTGTATGCAAAATCTCTACTGGTCGATGTACAGTATCACAATATATACAGGTATAGGAATTTATATCATTAGTAATATTACCTGATGAAAATATACTGAAATATGATATATGGTAGTTATCATGAACAAATTTTTGTCCAGATAAGATCATCTACACAATTTTAACAAGTATCTTTCTTCATGATATTCAAAGCACATTTCATTTATAGCTTATATAGATATTCTTCAATGTGTCCCACACAGTACCAAAACACAGTCAAGGGGTAGGCTTAACTTACTGAGTTGTACAAAGCATGGAAAGCATACCCATCTTCACAGGCACATTGCTGAATATTTGGCAACTTATTAATGGTCCAGCTTTGTGTAAATACCAAAAGTTATGACAAATTGGGCTTTTGTCATGGTGAAAATTCTTAGGAACTAGCAACCAAAGGTCAGAGCAACTTCCAAGAAAATAAACATTATATGTCTGGCCGTGTACCCAGTTTCAATATTTGATTCAAATATCACGTTAGAGGAACTTTATCATCTTTTATGAAAAACACAAAATTGGTGGCATAAGACTAAACATGAATCCAATGATGACTCGTGTGACAATGTGCCACCTAGTTAAACAGATTATTTAGCCCCTTGTGGCTTTACTTGTGAAAACTGGTGCCTATCACTTGAATTGAAATCTCAACTTCAAAAGAATATTGAAGAAAATTCTGAATTAAAATAATATCTCCAAATAATTCCACTTCATATACTGGTAATAAAAATGAATTTGTGGTCTTAGGCCATTAGACATAAAGCCAACTGTAAATCAAATTTTCTGACTATTTGTTACATTGTATATAAATCAGATTCAAAATAGTAGTCTACTGTCTTTTTAAGTTCATTAGCACAGTAAGTACATGTATATCAAAGTAATAAATTTCTTTACATATTATGTTGCCGTTTAAAAACGATACAATCAAATCTTCATAATTTGAAGCTATATGACCAAAAATACATATGCAATACATGTAGTACGATAAGTTAACTAGAATTTGTCCCGTTTCTTGATTTTTTGGCTTTTGTTGGCAATTATTCTTCAGAACATTAACATATATTCAGAAAACAAGAAAGCACAATGGTTTCACTATTTTCTGGTCAAGAATTATTATGGAAAATTGTTGCTTTGGAATGAATAAAGAAGTGGTTGCCTAGCAAGATACGCCCACTTTCCTTATACATTTTCAGTATATCAAGGGAAGTCAAATCATACCAAAAATCTAATTTGTGCAAGATATTGTTGATTTAAACAAAGACACATTATTTAATAAAATTCTGACATAATCTGTCACCATTTTCATTGAGTTTTTACAATACAATGGACAATAACTCAAATTCTGTTGATCGAAAAATTGTCAAATTCAATCTTGACTAAGATCTCATCATTATAAATGATCATACCAAATTTCATTTAAATCAGATGAAAACTGTATTCTCTAATTGTGTTCACAAACAAATTTTGACGTGTTTTTCATAAATCAAGGCCAATTACTCAAAAACCGTTCATCGAAATATAGCCAACTTCAGACTTGACCAAGATCTCTTTTTTATTAATATTTACACCAAATTTCATTTAAATTGGATGAAAACTGTAGTCTCTATTGTGTTCACAAACAAATTTTGACACGTTTTTCATAAGTCAAGGGCAATAACATTCATTGAAAAATCGTGAAAATCGAACTTGTCCAAGATCTCATCAATATAAATGATCACACCAAATTTCATTCAAATCAGATGAAAACTGTAGTCTCTATCGCGTTCACAAGCCAATTGTGGACAGACGGACCGACGGATATGGGTGACAATATACCTCCACATTATAATGTGGGCGTATAAGAATATAAATTTTACACATATTACACAAGATTATTTACAAAAATTCTCCGATATATTCATGGTAGATTTATTTTTCAGATTGCTTTTTCAAACTATGCGTTTCCCAAAGTTCTTTCATACTTTAATGGCACAGGATAGAGTCATGGTAGTCGTTATATTATCGAATAAACTTTCCAAACTGCAGAATGATTTGACTTTTTGTTTTATGCACCAAAGAACTGTTCCAAGCCCTGTAATTAATACTAACAAAGACCCTAGGCAGCTGCGCTCTAGCAAGATATGGCCATTCGGATATACTCTTATCAAGTCAATATGAAGTTCACAGCTGTCATGACAAAAGTCACTTTTTAAGGGACAAATTCATCATTTTTATAAAGGTTGATTTGGATCTAGAATACATGTTAATTAAGAAGTACAGTCGAGTAACCTAATTTCGTGGAAACCTATTATTCGTGGATTTCCGGAAAGGATTAATAATTTACATGAGCGACCTTGCGCGACCTCCACATTAGTTTGTTTTGATAAACATGGGTTTTCTCTACAATGTCAGCTAGTAGAATGAATCCAGTAGTTTCAAGCAAGGTAAAATGTATTAATGTATACTTTGACAAATACAAAATTGCGGATTTCAGTTATTACCAAACGTCACCATTTTTTATTGGCCGAATTTCCTTATTATCCCAAGCGGTAATCGGAATTCCAAGTGTCGTCTGCTAGAATATATTTCAACGAATGAAGTCACGTGATCAACTAGCAGATTCAGCAGAAAATTTCTATGGAACACAAAGTGGACCATATTCTTATGTTGTTTCAGTGACTTATTCCATCCGGTATCGATACAACGTGTTTTTCTAGACTTATTTATAGATCAAACATTGTACACGAAAATAGGTGACGCATTCTGCTGCCGTTGCCGAGTTGGTTGCTCATGAAATATGGGTTAAAGTGAAGGATTCATAAAGAAAATCGAAATAAACCAATTTTAATTATTTGTAGAATATCTGATGAAACATCTAAGACATAAAAAAAAATTTTCGTTTTTTTAACCTTGACGAAATTTGGTGTTGAATCCTTATATCCACGAAAATAGGTTACACCACTGTACTAAAAATGTATTCAAATCGCATAATTCCTTCAAAAATGCTTCAAACTAGGAATTTCACCTTCTAAATGTCTTTTCTAATATAGCCTATAGGCCTCAAGAGAAATCGTCTTTTCAACAAACTCAGATAATTCTTGACACACATAGATTAGAAGTCTCAAATTTGGGCAGTGTGAGCTGTCAACACCATAACGGATTATCTTGGATAAAAATACAAGTTTCTAAGACTAAGCAAGGTTCGATTTGGTAAAACCAATGCAATGGGGAATCTGTCGCTTTAATTTATCATTTCTGGAATGTTCTCCTGTAAATCCATCTATCTGGATCTGTAACACAGAGCATAACAGAACCAAAACTTTGCTATATGAATGAATGAGGTCGATGTTCCAACCCTTGTACCTTAAGTAATTGACATTAGCCTACTTCAATTTGGAGTCCAGAAACAACAACAAAGTAATGTATAGTTTCGACACCATCCTACTGAAGGCTACATCTGACATATCTTACCACTTACAAAAGAAGTATTAGGATAAGGGTCGCAATGAAATTTTTATTCTACTGAAGGGACAATACGAATGTATTTGTGTGGTACATAGTTGCAACAATCAATAACTTTCCTATCTCTTGTTTACGATCAACACTCATTTTACAAAAAAGATGGCGGATTATGCGCGAGAATCGTACATTTTCGTGTCGAGACTTACTGAAAACGAAACTATACCGTTAATGAAAATAATCATCATAATTCCGGGAATGATATCACCCCCATCCCTTCCTCCCAAACCCACAAAAGCAAACAGTTATAGAACTTTTGGTTGAAAACATGGATCATTTGAATAGGCTAGAAGAAATTCAAAGAAATGAATTGAAGAATATACTAATTCTCTACTACTCTAGACTAGAGTAGATTCAATGCTGTTTCAGCCTTTTGTGATTCTTGAGAGAAAAGTGGAAGAAAATTAGAGTCAGGGCTACCTCATATGTCAGTTAGTACGTCAGTGAGTTCGTCACTCCGTCAATGAGTTCGCCACTCTGTCAATGAGTTCGTCACTACGTCAGTGAGTTCGCCACTCAGTCACTGGAGTCCATCAATACGTCACTTGGAAAATTAAGTGTTTTATAACATTTCAGAAATTTAGAGGCTAGATCTATTGCCTCATACATGTAATTTTGAAACTGGTAGAAAATGATGTTGATATTGGTAAATTCATATTGAGAGCCACAAGAATCAGATTTAAGTTCTTGAAAAGTTTGTAATTTTGAAGTCCGTCTAGTGTAAATATGATATTGTAGGCCTAGGCTATAGATGAATTTTCATTGGCTAAAATATTTTGAATATTCCGCTACAGTTTTTTTTTTGGTTGTAAATATGATAATTGTAGCCTATAGATATATTTTCATTTTATAAATCATTCTGTATTTATGTAGGCCTATTCTGTAGGCCTACTGTGGGCTGGAGGCATAGTCGAGTTATATATAGAAACTATATGGCTGGAGGCCTATAATACCGAATAAACATATATATAATAATTTGAAAAAAAAGTTTACATTGCTCTCCCATAAGACAATTTTTGGACAATTCAGTTCAGTAGGGTTGCAAACAAACCCCTTAAGCCCCTATCATGCATTAGTCTCAGTCTCAGTCTCTCTGATATTTTTAGCAAAGCCAATCTTTGATAGTTGAAATTTGAGCTTTCAAATCCATGTGTGCCCAGAATTATCCTTGATTGAATTTTAAAATGACCACTCTTCATATATAGAAATGACAATATAGAAATAGCGAGAAAATTCCGTGTTTGATGTAGTTTTTCAGGAATTTTGTGATTTTCATACATTTTTATAATTAGTACTTCTGAAGACTATTTACATATATTCATAACTAGAAGAAACCCCCAAAATGGACAACCTGTCCCTTTAAATGATACTTTTCTAACCAAAAATATTAATATGTCCAAATCAATTCAATGTTTATTAGGTATTCAGTATATTAAATTCAGTCTCCACATTTGCCACCTCTTCTCACCCCACCTTATTAAACTGGTCTTTTCCCTCATACCTCCATTCTCAGGAGGCTGGTGCTTACGTTTAAGAGCCAATTGGACATTGGATTGCAGTAAATCATGAGAATTTCCTGCCAGGTAGAAATATAAAGCGTAAAAGTAACTGACAATAGTTTATTAACAAGACATAAAGTTATCAACAATTTTTCTTATTTTTAAATAGTACACCATTCCCATTATTAACAATATACATAGCAATATACAAAGCCTAGTTAAGAATGTATTTTGACAGCAGTAAATAAGATCTATCAGCTATAACATTAGATACAAAATATTAAATACAGAATATCTAGTAAATATCTATGTGCACATCTTTGTCAGAAGCAAATCATAATCAATGTCTATTTTATATATTAGAATAAATAATCAATACTTTGATCAAATACTGAAAAATGTATTTTATTGTTAACAAATTTTGGTAAACAGATTTGAAGAAATATACAAGAAAATATTGTCAATTTCAAATTATTGAAATAGTCTTTCATTGGTTCAGTAGGCACATGCACAGTAACTTAAAAAGTCTATTTAGAAAGTTCTGCAAAATATCACGGTAATGAATGGCAGACATTTTTACTGAAACTATGTCAGAATTGTCACGATTATTGTAATTAAAATATCAGAGGCTGGTCTTTCAGGACTACGCGTATTGTTAACAAAACCCTCGAAAAATCTGGATCCAAAATGATCATAAAAATGTATCATTGGTAAACCGCTAGTCACAATTAAAGGGCATACGCATAATTTTGAGTCATTTGACAAATATTTAAAGATGTCAGAAGTAAAGAGTCTAGAAGAAGCAACAAAATTCTCCATTCATTACCGAGACAGATTAAGCTTTATGGAAACTGCTGAGGATACAATGATGTATTTAAGAGGAACCATACAAAACACTAAAAAAAAGAAGATTTTCAGTTTACTGTTATCACACACAGATATCACTGATTTTACAAAAAATAAATCATTTATAGAGAAGTATAATATATGTAAGCTTATAAGAGAAATATATATTTCAATGGGTGATTTTAGCCAACTTGCAACTTTGAACAATATATTGTTTTATAATGTTATATTTAAACATTCTGATTTGACTAATTAGTTAAACTAATTAATATTTTCCAACCAATCTAGCTTTTCTTGACAACTTAAATTATCACATTTGGAAAATGTTTTATTTAAACAGTCATGTATATTGTAAGATTTCATTTATTTCTTAATTTCCTTACAATCTAACCATATTGAACTTGTGATAAATTTGATATCATGAAGATAAGACCAAGGGTCTGAATTCACAATTCATACAACATAACAAAATCCCAGAGAACTGCATGATGTCTAACCAATGCATTTCGTTTAAAATTTCACTCAAATCCTTTTAACAGTTGGATAACTATCAATCTATCACGCTACGTAGAACATATTTCACAGTGAATGCAAATGCAGCAAATCCAAGAATTACAAAGATGTTAGCTAATGCACTTCCCCAAAAGCCTTGATTAGGTTCATTATTGTTATTGAAGGGTTGATTAAAGGAAGGACTATTATTATTTCTAATATTAGAGTTACTGGATAATCTACCACTACTTTCAGTTGCTTGTTTAATTTCTTCATCTCTTCGTTTTATTTCTGATTGTATTTCCTGAAACACCATAGAAAAAATATAAAGCATTTCAGAGTATCAACTAACTAGTATCCAAGCATCTAAAGAAGGTATGAAATCAACATTTAATGCAAACTTTGAAGGTATCAAATTATCATGTCATTTCAGCTACCCGACATTTTTTAGGCTACAAGAACCCAAAATTTGCTAGAGTAGACTTGAATCAGTTCAATTCAACCCTTTTTTATGCCTAGCTGACTAAAAAACTCTGCCTCTGTTTCTAATATATTATAATTAAATAAAATCAGTTGAATGAAATTGCACACCTTATGTTAATTCTCATATTGCAAGTCTAGAGGTATAATACAAATAAACCTATGTTATGTAAATACATAAGAAAGAACTAAACTAATCCAACCAAATTAAAGTGAGTACTAGAAATTGAAAACAAATGAAATGTTATTTTTCATCCTACATTTCAAAACCTTGTCCAATCCATACAACTAGATATCTTTCCATGTTAGACCCTTGGACCTGTCTGGGAGAAACTAGATTCAAAACAGATATTCAGTGCACTGTATGTACTGAAGTTTATTAAAGTCAAACACAGATATTTTTGCTCATCAGAGTACTGTCAAAACATTAATACAACCACAATCAGTCAAATATATTTTCAAAGGTGTAATCGTATGACATCTAGAGGGTTTGACTTATCCCTCAATTAAATATGAAAAATCTAAAATGATATTATGCATGCAGCTTCGTTTAATTACAATAAAGTGCACATTTAAGAATCATTCATACCTATATTCTGAAGTCAGTTCAAAAAGTTTGTAGGCCCTACTGTTCATTTTATCGTGACAGCCGCCATGTATATCTGCCATGTATATCTAATCTATTTCAACTTGTATCATCATATTTATTTTCTACAAACATGATTTATTTCGTCTTACAGAATAAAGTTTTGAAATTGTCAGAAGGATTTTCTTCTGATTGCCCATTTCAGTTACAATTCTTCGTAAAAAACACCAAACAATGTCTTGCAAGTTGCTACACACTCTACGCACTTTCCTCATCAAAACTTTCCTTTAATCAGGGAATTTTTTTCTCTGAGATAATGTGCGAATTTAGGTCAAATAAAATCTAAAATCTGCCTAAAATAAACCAACCTGCATACATTTAATCTTATTTCAGATTTTTCATATTCTATTGAAGGATTAGTCAAACCCTCAAAATCTTATACCTTTTATACCTTTGACTAGTTTATATGTTTTGACGGTAAAGGATTAGCAAAAATTTTTGTATTTGACTATATAGAGCTCTTGTTACCTACTTCTGATAAATCAGGAAATAACTCAATAAATGTCTTATTATTCAGATTCAATGGTCCACTTTGAGCAGCTAGTTGTCGTTTCTGAAATTATCAAATCCATTACAGTTTTAGCATGAACAAATATAATCAGAACATTGTTTACTATGTAAAGTGATCAGTTATTGATTGGTAAAAAGAATCACAGAAGAATATAAGAGAGCACTTTGCTCTTCATTAGAAAAAACAAAATGACAGAATTTCTCGGAAGAAAAGCAAAGTATAAAGATACAAAAGAAGGTATTGGAGCACATCGCTCATTGCTTAATCGAAACAGACATCATCACTACCTAGAAAAAGAAAAAGATGATAAAATACCATAAAACTGACTATATTCAGTCCATTGATGATTTCAAATCCTCAATCAAAATCATCCATCAGCTGTCATTCATAATATGATTTGTACAAACTAGCTCATATTTTCAACCTGATAATATAAAAACTAGCAATACTTACAGTATAATCTGATGTTTCTATACTGCCTAATGTAGGACTTTTCTCCAACTGAAATCATAAACCAACTTTTTATAAAGATCCTATTTTAATCTTCAACTATAATTTTCATTAAACTTCATAATGCTTCCTATATAAATACCGAGTGTTTATAACTTGGGTACATCCTCTTCTATAAGAATCTCAAGCAAACAAAAGTAGATATCTTTCAGAGACCATTAAGAAATTTGTTTTCACAGAAAAGTTGGTACTGAGTTAAAGATAGCCTGCACTAGGCAAGGTAATATAAGCCCACTGGCAGCTTTGATTTTAAATAAAAATATTTGGCAGTACAGTAACAATTACTAGTATGAAATATTCAACCTTCAGTCTTACACTTCTCGGGCGATACTGTATTATATTACAAACGAGTTTTCATGAACAAGGGCAATAACTCTTAGTAAATATTTTCAGATTTTTCTTTTTATTTTCAATAGAGTTCATCCTTGGGTGGTTACAAACACTGACACCTAGTTTCGTCAAAATCATCAAGGTTGTTTTTGTGCTAAAAATTGAACACATTTTCAAGAACAAAGGCAATAAACTCATACTAATTATTTTTCTATTTTTCTGATTTTCAATAGGGTTCATCCTTGGGTGATAACAAACACTTAAACTAAGTTTCATCTAAATCGTGCAAGAATTGTGCCTGCAGTAGTGTTTACGAGCTAAAAACATGTTTTCAAGAACAAGGCTTTATATATTTTTTGATTTTTCTGATTTTCGATAGGGTTCATCCTTTGTTGATAACAAACGCTCACACCAAGTTTCATCAAAATATGTCAAGAATTGCACCTTCTAGAGTGGTGGTTCGATGGCTGTGGTTTCTGTGGACTGATGATGTCTTGCGGGAGCTGCATCATTTCCTGTTAATTCTTTCTGGAATCAAAGGAACCACAGGCATCCGACAAAGAATTGGAATGTCCCAAATAGAAGTCAATGGTACACATACACATAAAAAGGCTAGAAAAACCTCTTTACAATCCCTTTATTCTGAACAAATAAACTACATACCATGAAACTAAGTAAGCCTGTTAATATTGTAGCTACAGACCATGCTGGATTCCAAGTATCAGGATGAAAATCACTGATAGACAAACATAACCTAAACAATAATAAAATAATATATCATATCAGTTTTTTTTAAATCATATCAGATGGTATTTCCTAATAAGGACTATTTAATCCTGAACTAAACTAGGAACTTATTCTAATCAATTCATTATAAGGTTCAGACTATTCTGAATAAAAAATTTTATATGTATAATATCAAGAACATGTTTAAAACATGTTTATTTCATGGATTTGGTCATGAATTATTGTTCATTATTCTACCTGACACAACTGTAGATGGATACAGATATATACCCTGAATGGACTCTTGTTTTATTAATAAAAAATTTACCTTGTGTTGCATTTAAAACGTCCATTTGGTGTTATTATATAAATACTAGGTGGTTTGAAAGGAAATTCTCTGGGAAAGACTAATTTACCATGGTAAATACCACCTACAAATATTTTACATATAAGAATATAATATACTATTCATATTTTGTTGAAGTTAATCACTTAATATACTCTGTTTTCTCAAAAACTTCTTAAAATATATTGCAAGTATGATTTACCATTAATGGCTTAAATCAGACATACAAAATATTATACAGCAACATCAAATTAATAGTAATAACAATTTACCTTCAAATGGAGTTTTCTCTGGTCCTTGAACTACATAATGCCTGAAAACAATATTATGTATACAAAATTATCTCTGCATGATCTATTTTAGTCTGTGTTCATGTTTTTTTTCTTCTTTTCCTTTCTATAGCAAGATTTCATATCCTAAACTTAGACTGCAGTTTGATTTATTCCAAATTCAAAAATTTAAGACAGCTTGCCAGGCAAGGTAACATATGCCCACTACCAGCTGTCAGAATGATAACAAAATCTTTAGTGGCTTAATAATAAATTTACAAATAATCTTAAAATCATCCATAAGTCAAGGCAAAAACCTGAAACAGTTCATCAAGTTATCATGAAATTCAAACATGAACAATGTCTCATCGCTGTACACACAAGGGCAATAACTCGGAAACTGTTGATTTGATTATTACCAATTTCCAACTTGACTGAGATCTCATCAATATATACATGCATACCAAGTTTCATCAAGATCAGATAAAAACTGTAATCTCTATCGTGCCTACAAGGCAAATTTGACACGTTTTTTACTAAGTCAAGGGCAATAACTCTGAAACCGTTCATCCTATTATTACCGACTTCAAACTTGACCAAGATCTTATCAATATTTTCAAGCATACCAAGTTTCATCAAGATCGTGTGAAAACTGTAGTCTCTAACGTGCCTACAAGGCAAATTTGACGCATTTTTACTAAGTCAAGAGCAATAACTCTGAAACCGTTCATTCGATTATTACCACTTTCGAACTTGACCGAGATCTCATCAATATATACATGCATACCATGTTTCATCAAGATCAGATGAAAACTGTAGTCTCTATCGTGCCTACAAGGCAAATTTGACGCATTTTAACGAGGTCAAGGGCAATATCTCTGAAACCGTTCACCCGGTTATTACCAATTTCGAACTTGACCGAGATCTCATCAATATATACATGAATACCAAGTTTCATCAAGATCAGATAAAAACTGTTCCCTCTATCCCGCCTACAAGAAATGTGGACGGACGGACGGACAGAAGGACCGACGGACAGGGGCGACAGCAATATACGTCCACATTTCCATGGACATATTATTGATTATTGATGTGCAGCAAATATCAACAGGGCTATTAGAGGGTCTCAATATTGTTTTTCTTTTGCCCCAAATTAAAATCCAATTTTAAAACATCTTAGATAACTCCTACTACCAAATTGAAATTAATCATAGACAAAAACATACTTATAATAGAAAGTTATCCTAGTTTAAAGTATTTTTAAAGGAGTTATGCAATAATAGTCCAGTTCTAGCACTTCTAAAGACCATTTTTTTTTTTAAGATCTAGAAGTTAGATTTTCTAAATCTAATGCAGATTTTTTCTATAACTTTGTATTTTATACTTAAGTGTCATAAAATTCAATATTAGGCCTACTGACACCAGGTCTATCAGATAAGACTACTTTACATGTTTACATACCATTCTAGGATATTTGATGGCAAAGGAATAGCTCTAACATAAGGAACGGGATCTTTCATTAAACGCAGATAGTCTTGCTTTAATCTAGCTGTTGCTGTTGTGTTTACTCTTTTAGATGTCATTCTGAAATTAAAAAAAAATAACATCTTATTACCAGTATTTAGTATTTACTGTAGGACTTTTAGTTTGGCCAAAAATAATCTGTTAATGTCACATTCTGACCTAAAATGAAAATGTGATGTGATAGATCTATCTATGATGCACAACGGATCATGACATTGTGTTCAAAATAAACTAAGAAATTTAATGATTTTGGCCCTCAATGGCCTCATCTTCAACAATGAAACAGATCAACTTTATAATCAGGAATAAAGTCCATGAAAATATGACTTTAATGTGATGTCAATGGAAATAAAAAATCAAGCCGTCATCATGTCCTTATATAAGATTATAGGCTACATAACTGTATCATCATACATTTTGCTCAATCTATTGTTAGCTCTTATGTTATTATATGAATTTTTAGTTCCTAGGTTTTGCCTAATGACAACAAAACTATTCCATTTGACAATCCTTGGCAAATTCTATAAACCTGAATCTGTTGCAGTAATGAATGAATGGTAACTTTCGTTGTGTCTTCTTGTTGTGCGAGACTCTTAACTTCTTCTCGGGTAGGCAATTGGGCTATTTGTCAAATGATATCAATATTATGACTTTACAGCTTTTGGGGGATAATTATTATAGTTAATTACACATTAAATGCTGTATTACGACCATCAGTTTACTTGCGAAACATTTCAGATCCATATCTCACTAAGTTTTACTGTTTGTGTTTGCAAAATATCACTCTAAATATGTAATTATAACCAATTTTAGCTTAAGCTGTGGTGTGCACTATTAAGATATCTTAAGAGTAGAAAAAAGAAATGAATAGGCAAGGTAATAATGTACCACCATCAGGTTTAATGATTTTAGCCTCCAATGCAATGGCAATGGCCTGTGGCTATATCAGCCTATAAGGGCCAGGTTTATTTACAAAGAGTAATTTCATCACTAAATAGAATAGACTTCTCTGGTTCCAATGACTATGTTAATTTATGTTTTTAACCTAAAATCCAATCATACAATAGTTCAATTTAGGTGCATACATCAACTTACTTTGCTATGAAGAAGAAAAAGAAATCTTTACCACCTAAACAGGAAGTAGAATGAACGGGGAATAACTCGTGTAAAACAAGGTTGTGAACAAAGTTAGTGAGGTAATCTGTCCAGAGTTCAGGAAGATTTTATGTTTTTTTAGACGATAATTTTCAACAAAATTTCGTATTCTGACACTTACAGATTTGGTAACTTGATTAAGTAGGATAATAAGTTTTTTTTCAAATCGTATAAGGTTACTTTAAAAAGTTTTGAAGAATAGCACCTTCTCAAAACGATCTGTAATTCGGATTTTATTTTACAAAACTGTAGTCTACATTACACTACTAGAGTCGTTTTTGTCGCACGATTCGATTAGGTAGATTAGCTATTTTGTACATTTGTGAGCCTGACGTTTAGGCTAATCGGTGCATTTGTAAGACAGTTTACCTTAACTGATTAGGCTAATCGACCTAACCTTATTTTTACTATTGGTTAATTTGATCAATGTTGATATAAACATAGATGTCATTGGCTAATATTACATGTAATATACAACCTTCTTTTGTTGACGGTGAGGTCATTCAAATTGCCTTATCGCTGGTATCACATTTGTGGGCCACTGCAAATCGTACCTAATCATACTAGCAAATCGAAACCTAATCGAATCGGGTGACAAAAACGACTTAGTACAGTGTAGATCTAGCTCTAGATCTATTAGTCCGAAACATCTGCCTCTGCTGGATATTTTGACAGTTGTCAGCTGGAGTAGAGTCAGAAGAAAAAGACCCAGTTAAATGGGGATTTTCCACACCTTCATAGATAGGTTTATTAACGGCCGTGGATATTCGCCCTCGGCCTTTTTTAAGGTTTTTTGTTTATATAGACAACATATAATTAGCCAATAGTATAAATTACCAATGATATCACACCTAATCAAATCGCCTAACCACCTACTGGGACGGTTAGGTCGATTAGCCTAATCAGTTTAGGTAAACTGTCTCACAAATGCACCGATTAGCCTAAATGTCCTGGCTCACATATGCACAAAATAGCTAATCTACCTAATCGAATCGTGCGACAAAAACGACTTTAATCAGTTTTGCAAAATGGCCTATGCTAGATCAGTTTCACCAACAAAAAAAAACTTTGATAGAACCGGAGTCATTACATAAATGGTGTAGGGAGAAAATGATGGTATGACTGAACTACAAAAATATTCATCTTTCCAACTATACCTGGGTTTTGCTGATCCTAGGTATCTGAATTGGTTTAAAACCCCCGCAATCTACGGAAATGCTGAATGTCTCCATTTAACAGGGCTTATTATTTACGTCTCTACACCAGCTGACATCAGTTCTGACCTGTCCAAATAGGCCCTAGCTATCAGAAGCCGGTATAGATATAGATGTTTCGGTCTATAGATCTATGTTTTTATTGTGATATAGACATAGTATGTGAAACTTACAGTTACTGTAAAAGAATTTGCAGAAACGAAATTATTGCAACAAACGCCCTGCTTTGTTTTCGTTAATCGAAAAATATTCTTTTTTTTTTTTTTTTTTTTTTTGCGAATTCTTGAATGGGGCTCACAGACGAAACTGTACATGGTATGGATATTTTTTAACTATGTCGTATCTATACTCCGCGGTCATAAGATTTTAAATGTAGAACGGCACAATTTTGAAAAACCGGACATGCGTAGTGGTGGGCCATCATGACTAACTACGGAAAGCACTGGTATGCTTATTTACGGCTCGATTTTCATAGGATTTTCTGCATTGTACTGCATAAACGTAATGTCAAACTATGGCACTTTAAATTATGCAAATTTGCTATATTGTTTGCAAGTTATAATAACAAAGCCTCTCTAGCACTGTACTAAAACGTTTGCTATGAAGTCAATCGATCAGAAATTTATATGGGAAAATATTGTAATGTTGATAAACTCAAATGTGTTTTCAGAAGTTTTGCATCATATCCAGTTTTTGCAAAAATTGCCTTCAAAGTCAGTTTTGCAACTTTTTACTTTTCACAGCTACGCCTAAAATCACATATGCATATCATTAGAAATGTTATTCAAATTAAAATGAGCGAAAAAAATTTGACCGTAAGCGTCAATCCAGCCGCCATTTTGATTAGCGTAACATTTTTTAAATTCGATATTTCTCCCTCATTTGTTATCAGATTTGCATATTTTTGGTGTCAATAGAAACCTTAGACTTTTGACAACAATTCCTTGTGAGTCGAATTTTGAATTTTGAGCTTTCTTTTCATTCTTTAATGAAAATTTTCAAATTTGTTCAATATTTAAGGCTTTTTATCTCGTGATCTTGAAGTCTTATGACCTTGAGTTTTATATGGCTTAATGTCCTCGACAATATCTATCCGATGGTATTTTCATTTTTTGTTTCCGACTATAACTTCCGAAGTTATGGGCGTTTGGAAATAGCGAAATTTTCTTTTAAAGAGCTCTAGCAACCATTCTATTAATGTTATAACCATAATTTTTACAGAAACGTAATCTACGCATCGAGAGCTTTCCAGTGATATATAACATGCATACCTTACATGCAAATTCAAAACCCCATTCACTTAACATGGGGCTATTATTGTACAATCCCTGTAAACAACCTGTCGACACTTGTTAGAACTAATTAAAATCAAAAAGTCTATGTTCATTTTAAAGAAACCTTCCCTTATATATTTGTTTAATATGTATTATGTGCAGTTATGATATATAAATAAACTCTAGGGTATATTGAACGCTATTATAAGGTAAGTTGAGCTTACAGAAGCACATTAAAGGGATACCCCCACTTAATTTACCAACTTTCTTATTTATTATCCGATTTTCATCAAACTTGGTATGTATGTGTATAATCAAATTCTAAATTTGATGGAATAATCGATTTTGCGTAGTGCGCATGCGCATTACCAACTTTCTTATTTCTTTTCCGAATTTCTTCAAACTTGATATGTATGTGTATATTCCAATTCAAAATTGATGGATATCGACTTTGCGAAGTGCGCATGCGCATTGCCAACTTTCTTATTTATTATCCGATTTTCATCAAACTTGGTATGTTTGTGCATAATCTAATTCTAAATTTGATGGAATTATCGAATTTGCGTAGTGCGCATGCGCATTACCAACTTTCTTATTTATTATCCGATTTTCATCAAACTTGGTATGTTTGTGTATAATCTAATTCTAAATTTGATTGAATTATCGAATTTGCGTAGTGCACATGTGCATTACCAACTTTCTTATTTATTATCCGATTTTAATCAAACTTGGTATGTATGTGTATAATCCAATTCTAAATTTGATGGAAATGTTGAATTTTGTTATGCGCATTACCGACTTACTTATCTTTTATCTGAATTTTCACCAAACTTGGTATGTTTTTGTATAATTCAATTCTACATTTGATGGAAATATTGAATGTTTGTTGTGCGCATGCGCATTACCAACTTTCATATTTCTTATCCGGATTTCATCAAACCTAATCTTTATTAATTGACAAATATTCTTTTATTCCTAGTAAATATACTTTAAACTCCAGGCACTTCTGGATATTTGCATTTAGAGATGTAATTGCAATAGACCATCTTCGTATGTACCTGAATGTCGTAACCCGCCCTGCATCAGTACTGTTATTAGAACAGTTCTAGTGTTTATTTGTAATCCGAAACGTCTATGAATATACCATACATTCGTTCTTTTGTGTGGTTGTAGGAAATATTGAATTGAATCAATTTGAAAAGGAATAGAATTTGAAAGTCATTGTTATCACATCTACACCTAATAACCAAGTTTTTTCTTTGTTGACTCATTGATTTTATTTTTCAGATTTAGATATAATAACAAACTCAAATTATGACACAGTCAAAACGTGAAGATGAAGATGAATTCAGTCCGCGAAAGAAGATTGAACCGTAATGTTACTATTGTTTTAATTTGTGGAATATTTATGACATTTTTTGTTATATTTATCTTATCTATGTGTAATGTACAAGGTCATGATCAACCCTATGTCATTGCACATGAGATGGATCATAGAAAAGGGCAAGAATTTTTGCAGAAAAAAGATCAATCAGCAACATTGATAATAATGATAATAACAGGACCAAATAATACTCGACAAAGAAACACTATAAGGGAAACTTGGCTAAGTGGTGCTAGAAATGATTGTCTAATAAAATTTGTTATTGGTGTATCTTATTTGCCTAAAGCAATAAAAGATTCTCTGGAAAGAGAAGATTTTATCCACAAAGATCTTCTATTATTATCAGATTACAAAGAATCATACCATTCTTTGACAGACAAAATATTAAAAAGTTTTATCTGGTTTGATCAAAATGTAGAATTTAAATATTTACTGAAAGTAGATGATGATTCTTTTGTTAGACTGGATATTTTGCTCAATGAACTCAAATCAAAACCTACCAAACGATTATACTGGGGATTTTTTGATGGCCGTGCTCATGTGAAAAAGACAGGAAAATGGTCTGAACCAGACTGGGTTTTATGTGATCGTTATTTACCCTATGCACTTGGTGGTGGTTACGTGATATCGTATGATTTGGTACATTTTATTGTGAGTAATAAAGAATTTTTAAAGAAATATATTAGTGAAGATGTATCTGTTGGTACTTGGTTGGCATCACTAGATGTACAGCGCATTCATGATCCAAGATTCGATACAGAGTATATGTCTCGTGGTGTAAAAAGG